ACATATCCAAGATATTGAGAAGATGGTCACCGATATTGCTGTGGAAACACAACGTTTGCTGGACGAAACGCTACCTGGTCCAGATGATGGCGATGAAGGGCTTTTGGAGGAGGTGGAAACAATCGCAAAGAAAATCGGCTCTGACTACGAACACGTCCTTGGTTTACCCAACAACCAGAAGATGCTGGCAACCATTTCTAGACTGGCCCTCAGCCATACACAAGATCTTCTTCCATCGCTTCTCGAACTCAGTAAGGATATCCAGCATATAATGGAGGAGTCCTGGCGACGCCGCGGAGCTGCAGAGAAGATGGCCCTTCAACAGATGCGAACAATCTCACATATTGAGTCTCGTCTTGCAGATGCCCACTCCCAGCTTGTCAATCTTGATGTGAATAGCAACGCGTTTGATGTTATATACTCTGTTTTCCAGATGCCAATGGTCTATGGATCTATCTTGATAGAGTCTATACGTCGCCGGGAATGGAGCGATAAGATCAAAACCGACTCGCTTAGTTTGGCAGAGGAAATGGCTGTTCTCACAGACGAGGAACAACGCCGTCGCAAGAAATGGGTCAAATCTATGGGTGATTTTATATCCTTCGGAGACACCACTGCCCCAGGAATCGAAGTCAACTTGCAGGGCCAAGATGATGGGTGGCCAGAAGTCAATCGGAAAGAAATTGAACTCTACATCGACGAAATAAGGACGAAACACTCCCTGTCCAAAATTGCGGATGACCTGTCCGTACAGTTCAAAGACTTGGATGCACCAACACGCCAGCAACGACGCCGGGCCAAGGCATTCAAGAACGGAAGCGTGTTCGATTTGGGTAGAAGCTCGATATTACTACGCGGTGACGACATGGTGCGAAGCCTGCAAGAAGAGAAAACCAAACTCGAAGAAAGAGTCAAAGGATCCGACAGCCGCATCCGCAAACTTGAGGATCTGCTGCATCGCCAAAGTCATCTCAGTCGGCCCTCAAGCGGTAACTTCGGCCCTGACTTTCCGAGCTCGCCGGCATCGCCGCATCCCGATGCCATGTCGCGTCGCTCCTCTGTTTCTTCAAGACGAGTATCAATGACTCAGTCTCCGGAAGATCGGGCGCTGGTTCAGCGCATCGTGTCACTCGAAGCTGAACTAGCTGCTGAAAGGGATACCGTGCAGAGGCTTCACAAGGAAGCACATTTCGAACGCCAGACAAACTCTGACAAATATCAAGAAGCTCAGTCCAAATACAACGAAGCTCAGTCCACGAAGGAGGACTTGATTGGGAACCTCGAGGCTCGGCAACGTGAGTTTGAAGATGAGCGGAGAGATCTAGAAGCAGAACTTAAGAAATTCCGACACCGAAACGAGGAGGTTGAAGAAGAGCTAGATAGGCTCATGGATGGTCGCGATCATGAAAGACAAGAATCGGACGAGCGCATTCATCAACTTGAACTCGAACTACAAAACGCCCAGGATACCTCTGCGGAGGAAGCTCAGAAAACTGCTGAGCTCAATGATCGCATGCAAGCCCACCAAGGGAGAGAACAAGAACTACGACGAAAAGTTGAAAGTCTTGAGCTCTACCACAGCAAACAGGACCAAAGGGACCAAGATAACTATAACGCCCTTCAGTCGGCTTTCATGAACTTGTCACCCGGAGGAACCGTGCCACCTGAGCTTCCTAGTCTCATCAAAGCTGTTGATATTCTTTCCGAAGGCCTCTCCATTCATGCGAAAAATGCCGAAGAGAGCGCATCGCAAGCAGCGGAAGAACTTAAGTCCCTTGGGGAAAGAAACGTTGAACTTGAGTCGAATCTTCAGGAGGAAGCAAATAAGCTGGAAAGCAAAGAGGCTGAAATATCGCGACTTACACAAGAGCTCTCAAAGACACAAGCAAAGTTGGATAGTATCAGGTCTGAGTTGGAACACGAGCGTTCTGCACTGCATTCCTTGCAGACTCACGTATCAGCCGGCCAAAGCGGATCTGATGCCTTGCGAGAACAAATTTTAGAAGAAGAACAGAAGCACGCAACTCTTTCTCAAAAACTGGCAGAGGCCGAGAGCGAGACCCGGAATCTGAAGGACCAACACTCTGAATGCGAAGAGAAGCTCGAACGTGCTTCCCAGACAGAGCAGCAGGTCGTGGCTCGGATTCATGCCCGAGGGGTGCGATCCCATGATGTCTCTAAGCAGCTCCACTCGCAGGTTGACACCCTGGTGCACATACTTGAGCAGATGGGCTTTGCGCTTATTCAACAGGACGGGCATCTTGCCGTTCAGCGAGCTTCGAAAGTTACCGCTTCGTCCAGTCTTGGGGAGAGTATTGCTCAATCTGGCATCGTCTCGGCAAGACCCGACGCTTCTTTACTGTCCTGGATGGAGGCAGAGACCCCCGAGGAAGAAGAATCTAATTATGTTGCGTTCATGGAAAATCTATCACGCTTCGATTTCTCGATTTTCGGAGATGCGGTCATCAAACGTGTCAAGGATCTTGAGACTTATGCTCGCAAGTACCTGAAAGAGTCCCGAACGTACCGTGACCGCTACCATCGGGTTCAAAGCGAGGCCCATGAGAAGATTGCGTACCGCTCCTTTAAGGAAGGAGATCTCGCCCTGTTTTTGCCTACCCGAAACCAAGCGATCCGTTCGTGGGCAGCCTTCAACATCAATGCGCCTCATAATTTCCTGCGCGAGCAAGACTCTCACAAATTAGACACACGAGACTGGCTGTTGGCTCGCATCACCAAGATTGAAGAGCGAGTGGTCGATCTGTCCAAGTCATTGAACAGCGCAGCCGCAGACCGTAACTCACTCGGGGATGCCAGCGACGGCGCGTCTTTGGAAGATGACAATCCCTTCGAGCTTTCGGACGGTCTCCGATGGTACCTCATTGATGCCATTGAAGAGAAGCCCGGCGCGCCAGCTACACCAGGTATCTCGAAAAGCACCGTTGCCTCCGCGCATGTTGACGCCAAAGGCAGCATACGTCTCAAGCGACCGACCGAGGAAAGTACGGTCGCCCAGACTCTATCTAAAAGCCTAGATAGCCGACGTAATAGTTCCAACTCCAAACGAGGCACACCCACACCCTCTCACAAAGCCAACGATTCAGCATCGGATATCGTTCGACCAGCCGACGCGGATACTGGCTCTCAGGTTCGAGAGTCTGCGCCGATATTTGACGAGGTTCGCCGTGGCCTTCTCAAAGACCCGTGAAAAGTAGGAAATTATGATAGATTCCTTCTTTACCGGGTCATTTCTTTTGCAATTGTGAATGCTAACTGCCTCTTAATACAGAGCCAGGATCCCGCATCAGTATCAGCAGCGCAGTTACACATCGGCGCAGCATCGCCGCCTTCGCGATCAGCTTCTGGTCTGCGACAGGCTAGGTCCCGTCCTTGGGAAAAGTTGTGGTCAATGGATTATCGCCGGGAGGAAGGCGGAACGAGATAGGAGGGCCTAGTTGTTGGATTTTTGCTGTCTTTTTTTTCAACACTTTTTTTGTCTACTTCATGCTAAATTATTTTGCTTTTTCTTCTCCAGGAATCGCGTGTGTGCGACTGGGGACTTGACATCTACCCTAGATGGGATTTATTACGAGATACCCAACATTTTCAATACATTATTTTTGCAATAACCTCTTCATAGTCTTATCGTTACTATAAGCAATGACTTTAGCTAGACCTTTCGCATTATAGCTCTACTGGTATCGTCTAGGTCATAGTTAGCGGTCTCTCAGCCTTTTTGTCAGTAGTTAAGCCTTTCTTCCAACCACAACGTAAACATTATAACTAAACCAACAGTTCAAGTTGCGCAGGTCCTGCTGAGCTGCCTCTTTCATAGCCATAACTTGATCTGCCGATTTGGCCCATTCAAAAGTGCGCCCGTTCAGTGCGGCAATCATAAAGTTATGGATCCCATCAAGAACTGCCCTATTGAGTTCATCCCTGCCGACCGGGTTATCCAATGGATACACCCTTTCGCTGCAATCTTCGAGGCCATTCTCTCGAAAAATTCGATAAAGAGCATTAACGCTATTTCGTATGTCAGAATTAAATCGGACTTGGCAAGGAGCGAAGATTATCTATCTTACTTTGGTGTCTTTCCCAAAGCGTTAGCCGTGGTGCGAAGAAGCTCCGTCCATCTTTCAGCGTTGATGGGAACTCTGCCTTCAGTTGCTCCCTTTGCGATGAAGTCCTTTGCCGAGCAGTCAAGCCACTGTATATAGCCACCAGGTCCTTTACATGTTAGCGTACGAGTCGAGGCTTCCGACTTGAATACATAGCCATACGGAGAAGAGACATGAGATTGCGGAGTGCAGGCTCCCACTCGTCAGAAGACAGTGCTACCACCATTGCCCGAACATTGACGACATCATATTGACCAGTGAACTGGGCCGGGAATGGCTTGAGGAGATTGTGTTGGATAAAGCTAACATTCGTCGGTCTTGGTGTCTTTTTGAAAAACATCGCATCGAAGAGATCGAATCCGTCGAGTTGGCAATTTTCGGGGAGCATTTTTGAGAGGTCTCGTAGCCATATACTTAATGCATATAATATTAGCTTCGTACATATACGTGACCTTGAGCCCTCATCGTATTCTCGAGAATTGACCAACTTATATGAAACATGGGAGAAGGTGTGTTTACTGACCCTGTGCCTGTTCCTACATCTGCCACGCGCAATTTCTCCCGTTGGGTGATAGCTGGGTGTAGGAGATAGCCGATATTGGATTGCCAGACGTTGTACTGCATTTCCAGTCTATAAGTTATGGTTTAACTCATCGCAATATGAGAACTATCTCGGAAGGATGGACAGAATTCTTTGGTACCTTTCGAGCTCATCCTTGGTACGGATTAAGACATATTCGCCTGGGGAATTGAGTTGTGGAGCCATAGTAACCTTTCAACTTGAATGAAATAGAGGACGTGGCGATGGAACTTTGAGAAATAATTCTGTTTCTTTATTTACTTTTCACAAACACTGCGGGGTCAATAAGGTGCTACAATTTATCTCAGAGCCAAGGATGGTGTCGGGACGAAGGATTCTCTCGCCTGCCTGAACTTTGCAAAGACTGAGAACAATTGGTAGATGGCAGGTCTCTGGAGTATATTTTCGGGAGGAAGGATTCCCAGAGGCTGCAGGCCCATGAGAATCTGGAAATGATCGTCCTTGTCGAAGGGCTCCTTTCCTAATACAGTCTGGCAGTTCGTTGAGACTAATGACATTTTGCGGGTACCTCGTACTAGTGTGTCCAATTAATGTAGTTGAAAACGTCGCCTGTCTGCTTGTCATCGCTGGGCCTCACTCTGTTTGTCCAAATGAGTAAGGATTAACCGCGTCTGTCTCGAATTGGAATGGGCTTGAGCCATCTTGGGACCATTCGGAACGCATGGTTCATGAATAACGGGTCATTAAACGGCTCGGGTTCCATGGATAGACGTGGTGCATCAATTTATGGATAGGTTGGAATATTTTTGTTTAACTAATAGCCCAATTCGAAAAGTTCCGACTCTTTATTTCGAGCTTTTGACCATGCGGGTTATCCGACGGCTTCAGCATTCCAACCTTTTTGCAGGTGAAAACCGCCGCATAATCTTTTGCTTGAGCGGTATTAAACAACCACTGGCACAGGAAACTACTAAATATGGTCACTAATGTGACTAATGTGGGCTATTTTATGTTTGTCTGCGGCAATTCACTTTGAAAGGTTTCCATCGAACGCTTCTAGATTTCAGACCATGATTCAAGTCTTTCTCTGTTGCCGGGCACTTTTGCTTAGTACATAGCTCCCCGCTTAGAGAGGCCCTTTGCTATGCAATAAGCAACAAGATCCCAGGCTCCGCTTTATTTAGTCTGATTACTTACAGTCTTATAGTCACATCGCATTGGATTTGATTCTAGCCCTGGCTTGAATTTTATACCTCAAGGGAAAAGGGAAAGAGGCCCCTGTATGGTGAATAGAGTTAAACGCCAAAAATTACTCTAGTAGAATTGGTACCTTCGGAATGGGTTGTTACGTCGATTTCCAGGCGTGGGATTCTAACACGTCGATACACCCAACCTGTTCCGCAGCCTGAGGATTTAGTTCCGCCAATAGTCTCATGCTCAATCGACCCCACAACAATCAGGAATTAGCTGTCAGTGGCTTGTTTGAACCATTCCAATCGAGGTGATTACTGGGTAATCGAAAACCAAACAAGCAAGGGTTTGGCAGCCGACTAAAAGCGTGACCGTGCACCGACGTAAGAAATGAGATGGTCATGACGTCGCAGATGCCAATAACCGGAGAAAGCATGTCCAACAATTTATTGAGTACAAAAGACACCCAGGAGGCAAATCCCCCATAAAAATATTTTCTTTTGAAGCGAAGAAAGAATTACAACGTTTCTAAGTCCATACATTTTAACATCTACACGACCGCTATCTGAAACCCACCACGCGATAACTTCACGCACCATGTCAGCCACACGCTTCATTCCAGTCATTAAGTCCCGAGTGGCACCCTCTATTGCACCTCGGGTCACCACCATCCGATCCATCTCATCAACGGCTAGCTATCAGAAAGGGCCTGTCGATGCGACTAAGGATACACTTAAACAAGCTGATCGAATTGTCTCTGATGCGACTGTAAAGGGTATTGACAAAGGAGGTTCGTTTAATTTCCGATCCTTAACGAGAATTTGGGTTTGCCGAATGCTGATACAATCGACTCTTCATTGCAGAGCAAGCAAAGAACAAGCTTAAGGATGCCATGGGCGCCACTGGACAAGACGCCAAGGGTAAAATGCAGGAGGCGAAGGGCGAAGCGGCTCAATATGCGGGTGAGGGCAAAGGAAAGGCGGAGCACATGGCCGGAAAGGCAAAAGGCAAGGCCTCAGAGGCCATGGGTGAAGCAGCTGGTAAGGCCAAGGAAGCCAAGGAGAAGCATCTTGGTTGAAGATGTCAACTGTTTCTTGCCTCTGTGATAATGACGCTTGTTCTTATGTCGCCTCATATTGCATAACTTGTATATCGAAATCTGTAATATCAAATTTGCATGTTTGAATCGGCGTATGGTTATGCTCTTGACGTAGGGCGTTCGACCAGAGACATCTAAATCTCAACTCGGTAGCATCATCACGTACTCGCGAGAGCTAAGACCGAATCGAAGTACATCCTTGTCCATTACCTCAACATAGCGGCCAGCCGGAGCCGGATCTCCGTTGACACTGGTTCCATTCGCACTCTCCAGATCGATGATGTATGGCTTCACCTTGCCAATGCGATCGCCATACTCATTCTTCTTTTCGACGTAACGAAATTGAAGTGCGGCATGTTGTTTCGAGCAGCTGGGATGATCAAGAGGGAAGTCCACTATAGCTCTCTCACGTCCAACAAGCCAGCAACTACGCTCGCCCAGTTCCACCATCTCAAGCAGGTCATCTCCCTTAAAGACGTACAACCGCCAGGGTTCTTTGGACGGTGCCTTGCGTGCTTCTGGTGGTTCGTGGTATTTCAAGACAATTCCTTCCCCACCTTCAACCTGGATCATATTACTCTCCGCCGCGAGACGTCCAGTATTTTTGAAATTGGGCTTCTCCTTCTCTGGTGGTGGGGGTCCATCACCCGACTGTGTCAATTCGGTTGAGAAGGCATCTCCCTGAGAAGGGAGAGGGCCACGTCGCTGTATATCCTTGGGTGGACTGGGTGATTTCCGTGGAGATCTGGAGCGTCGCCGCGGACTTCTGTGTCTTCTAGACGATCGCTCACTATCGCGATCGCGGTCTTCACGGTGTCGATGGCTGCGGTGTCGGTGTCGTCGGCGATCCTCATCGGCACTTGTAGATCGGTCTCGGCGTTCTCGGCGGTGGCTGTCACGATCTCGGTGACTCCTTTCTTTTCCGGATGGGCTTCGAGAAGGGCGACGCCGAGGGCTGTCTCTGCGGGAGCTTTTAACGTCATCTTCTCGACGTCGCGAGCTTCGATGGCGGTCATCCCGTGAATCTCGATTTCGTCGATCGCGGTTTCGATCGGGCGAGCCGTCTGGGGAGCGGCGGCGGCGGTCGCCACGATCGTCTTGCGACTCTCCCATTGTTGTAGTGCGGGGTTTGAGGTGGATTGAAGGAAGAGTAATGTTTGAAGCTCAACTGGAGAATCTCCAAAGCTCCGGCACCACGTGATCAGTCCCGAGGCCGGACCGGCATGAACTGTCGAGGGGAGCTACACCTCCACTTCTCATTTTCACTCAAAGAGCACCGGCTTTCTTACCGTGCTTTCTCTTGAAAGCCATGCGGAAATGTTCAGGAAGCGCGTATCTCTTAAATGTGGTGGCGTTCAGCTCTTAAGCTCGACTACTCGTACCGCGGTCTCGCCACTCCGCCGTCTCAGGATTAACCCTCCACCAGGCCGTGACCTTGGGGCACCACATGCTGGTCGGAACTATGCAACCACTTCGAATCTGCCAGGGCATGAGTATTCATGGCCAGGGGCACCATCATTTACACCATATGAAGTCTTTAATTTGGATCATGCCGCTCCGTATTCAAAGAACCTTTACTACGACCTCGTGAAGATCTACCACCCAGATCGACCCTGCAATGAGCATCGTCTTTGTCGAGGCCTATCACCTGAAGTTCGCCTTAAGCGGTACCACATTGTCGTAGCAGCTCATGAAATCCTTTCCGATCCCAATAAGCGAGCTGCATATGACCAGTTCGGCGCTGGATGGAAATACGGGCCGAAACGGTATAACACCACAGCTGAGGCATCTGCAGAATGGGGGCCATATGGGCCAGCGATTTATGCAAACGCTACGTGGGAAGACTGGGAACGGTGGAATAACCGACACGAGAAGCAGCAGCACGTTGTTGATCACCGCACTTTCACACGGCTTGTGATTCTTCTCGTTTTATTTGGAGGCGCTGTCCAGGCATCGTGGATCTCGCAGCAACAAACTGGTTATGAAGAGCGACTTCGCGAGGTCAACCAAGAATCGTCGAGGTTCCTGTCCGGTCGTCGGAAGCATACTGTGGATCAGATGCCTTCCAATGATGCTCGCGTGCAGAGTTTCCTCGTTCGGAGAGATCCGACTGGAGCGGGTCTCAAAGAAGAAGAACAGCCTGTTTATCAGAGAGAACTTCATCCCCGCCGTGAAGGACCCGAAGGTGACGCGACAAATACACATCATAACAGAAGAAATCCCATAGAAAGTGGGCAGAAAACCGAGTTTTCAGGGCCCAGAAGGTGTCCATGAGGATGTCTGATCTCTTTGAGTTTCATTTACGTGAAACTGTTGCAAGCATGGCGTCCTTTCGTGTTCATTTTTGGGTTCTGTCTTGGTCACATCATGCGCCTCTATATATACTAACCTTATGAGACTTACACATTTCACCCCGACTTCCAAAGGTCGATCCAGGTAAATTGAAATGTACATAGAAGTCTTCATCCTTGAAGTTATGGATTTTTATCACAACGACTGAGCCCGGATCCGGAATTGTAATATTATAACCGAATTCAGAGATATCTTCAATTATAGATAGAGCGAGCTGTAGAGATAATTCTCAACCGGACTCTGCATTGGTGAATCTACCTGCTCGCTTGAATAAATAGTTCAAGACTTCCAGTTCCAAGCCTTTCGCAGTTTGGCCCCCAAGTGCCGTCGATGGCCAATAATTGTTATGACGGATCGTATTCATCACAACATCCATCAATGCTTGCTGCTCAGTGCGATCAGAGAAGCGATCTCCGCAGATAGCAATGGCAATTGATGCAGTAAGAAGTGCAGTTGGCTCTTGGCGATTAGAAATCGCAATTCCGCAAATGTCTAGCACGGTTGATTTGAGCTTAGCATCGATCGATTCCATAGTGCGGCGCTGGCCTGGTCCAACCCTCGCAATGGTTGGATCGTAAGCCGTTAATAATATGTCTATAAGACCAACAGTCTGCTCGGCAAGAATATGGCAATTATCCAGGTACCATTTTCGTGGAAAAATGTCACCTCGATCCTTATTCGGAGCATCGGAGTATACGGGAAAGAAAGAGAGGGGTCTCCCTTCCATCCAGCGGTTATAAATTGAAACAAGTTCCTCGAAGCGAGAGAGTGTGGTCTGGTCTTGATCGTCATAGCAGTATTGAAGGACATGTGAAGCGATGATGAGAAGCCGGTTCACCGAGATATAATCAGGTGCGGTATACCAGGAAAGGTAGCTTTCGCAGATATCGAGTGAAAGACGAAATGATCGCTGTTGGGAAAAGGCCGTATGAAATTCCTGACGAAAGCCGATCCAAAATGCCGCATGTCGGAGTCCCGTAGATGTTAATGCTAAACTTGCTTGCGCTTCGATGAAAACTTGAAGACCACGAGTAGCGGCGCCAGTTGGGAGGTCAATGAATGGAGCTGCCATCAGAAAGGCCGTTAGGGGGGAGGAAATAAAACTAAAAAGCGAGTCGGCGAACATCATTCTTCGTACTTACCATCCAATTCCTCATAGAATCTCAGGACCACTGCCGCCGCAAGAAGGTTCCCATCCATAATAGCATCCGGTTCGTTGGCAAGAAGTCTCAGATGCGCGATGGAACGATTATGATAATCAAGTACAGCAGTTTCACTAATAATGAGATCTTCTTGGAGGCCTAGTTTTACCGTCGCTTCTTTTTGTCGGTAATCTGGAAGTGTGGTGAAATGCCTAGCCGAAGCCGAAAGAACAGCATTGAAAAGTGGTGAACAAAACCGTGCTCTTTGGGGAACAACTATTGCAAAGTGTCGTTCAGGGTCACATATGTCAAACTGAACAAGTTTTATGATCAGCATATGCCCTTTGCGCATGTTTATCATCACCATACCCATTTGGCGAGTTCTTCCACAAAATATCGAAGCAGGAAAGCCTATCCTAGGTTAACTTGACAAGTCAAGCTTGACTCCTCGCGTTGAAGCAGGGGAAGATACTAATATACTATGATTAGTTTGGATGTTTCATTTTGAATTTTGCTACCGGGGGGGGGGCAGTAAGAAAGTACTGCAGGGTCACCCGTCTCTTTTTCACTTACAATCGGCTCAAGCCTAGTTTGAAGGTTCGTTTGCCATGGGAGGCCCACATCGGATGAGGGATTTGGAGTCGTTCTCTGGAGGTATTGATCGTGTGCCTCTGGAGAAAGGCCTTGAGAAGAGCTTTTTTCTGCTTGGCTTCCAGTGTACTTGCTCGTCTCATCAATGTATTGAAGGGCTATATGGATTTATTGTCAACTCAAATTAGGGAACGGTTTCCATTCAAATAACTTACCCTGGGGGCATGAATTCAATTTTGTAGAGGAGCTTTTATGGTGCCTAAACTTTGTTTCTTGGCGAGTACAATCTCGTCCAGTCTTTTGGCATCTTGAGCATTTTGGCTTAGCATTATCGCCTGGGATATTGTTGACAAATCGTTTGTATCAAGATGTTTGTAACAAATCCTTGAGAGAGATATGGTCCATACATTTCAAATGATGTTCTGGAATCAAGAAGCAATAAGTTGATGGTTCTTGAGATCGGAGCAGTTGCAAGCTACCACCTACTTCGGCAATTATCACTGATCAGGCATATTAGCATGCCATTTAGATAATTACTATGCGGTTATACATACCATGACTTCACCTTTGGTGTCATTGCGGATCAATTTGAAATGTACCGCCAAACCCCGTCGTGGCTTGTGAGAGTCAAATGCGAAGGCTGGTTTGGTGGGACAAGAATACAATCGGTCACCTGACCCCGCTCTCCAAAATAGCCTGTGTTAAATTTAACAAAATCTCACCAACGTAATATTTGCTGATGTTTTTCGAAGTTCAGAGGTTGAATATGAGTGGAGGCGAAGAAAGTTTATGGTTTTATCTATAGATTGCGAGGATTGAAACAAAAACCGTGATATCTGGCTATGTGCAACCTAATCTGCCAAACACAATCGACTATAATTATCATAGTACACAAGTTACGCAACATTGGAAGAGGATGTGAGTTTCCCCAAAATTTGGGAAATCCGATTTCAAAGTCCATCACCCGGGGTCCAAATTCTGTACCACCGCTGGTCAATGCCGGGATCACTCTTATCATAAAACCTCAGATCCGAACTCAATCGAATACTACCCGATTTATCTTCATTACGCCCACTGGCATGAATACTATATGGGTCGTGGAAGACAACATCACCGGCTTCGTAATTGGTAACTAGCCACTTATGCTCCCCATGCTCGGAATGCATTGATTGGAAATCTTGAGGAGATGAAGCGATCATGCCCCCGTCAAGCATGTTCACATTGAATGCGGAAATGCGCTCTTCCTCGGTAAATTCTTTGGCACACTTGGTATAGTCCTTTTCGACATGGCGACCAAGTGGCATAGAGTTCTCGAGGTAGCAAAGACCACCTCCATTAATAGCAATATCACCTGAACGACCCGGTTCTATCAGTATACGGAGTGCAAGATTGGCTAAGTAATATGACAGTCTCACCAATCGGAACCCAAGCGGTTAAAAAGAAGCCTGCGCCTCCTCTCAGAAACAGCTTGTCATAATGGATACCAGTTCCTAGACCGAATGGTACATTGTGACGCAGCATTGTCCGATCTAAGATTCGGTGTTCCTTCCAGTCCATGAATTTCCTGATGAACCCGGTCAAAGCCGGATGCTCAACAAAAGCACGATAATGTGGGTCTTTATGGGCATCTATGAGAACCTTCTCTTCAACAGGGTCGACTGGCAAGCCTGAACCACCAATTCCCTTGTGTGCATCGGGGTGTGAAGACGAATTGAAGATTCCATCTCGAGGTGAGATTCCAGGTTCCAGAAGCGAGGTGGATACATACTGACGAAAGTAGCTGCATGAGGGGGTATAGGAAATACATCAGTATAGTTTCAAGTATTCGGGACGATGGGAGTAGCCAAATTACCTCTCCCGCATATCTAAAACATCTTCTCGGGGAATAAGTCCCTTGACAAATAGATAGCCGTCCTGTTTAAGCCGCTGCCTCATTTCGTCGATCGACAATGATACAGGCGTAGGCTTAAGAAAGCCAACTCGTTCGGTGGGAATTCTTCCACCATTTTGGGCCAGCCCATCTGGAAAACATTCGTCTATAGAACCCCTCAGCACTGGAGGTGCTACGCGTTGAACTGCAGCAGTGGCCATTGATGAGTTGTAAACGAGATAGATGGAAATAACAGAAATTTCATTTGAACGGAGCTTCTAGTACTATTATCAAAAAGCAGATATACTGCGGGTCACTTGGGTCATCGGACACTGTCTTTTGTTGAACCTCAAGTGTAACGCGGGCCAATGAGAATGAAGATCGTTTCGCTGGCAAGTCTGGGTCCAGATTACGCTAAGCCAATCTTGTCCTAGCTCGCCGACTTTCTGCCCAAAATGGATTTGCCATCGCCGAAAATTACCCAATAAGGCAGGTACCCCGCCTTTCTTCATCTCTAGTCAGTACAACTCGTACACACACTACCATTCTTGTGAATCTGTGTACTCTCCTTCCCACCCTTTTTTTCCCACTGGAGTCCACCCAGAGCCAACACTGCCCAAATCGCAAACATGGCCGCTATCGACTGGGAACGGGGCGAGTCGCAAGGCTTGGTCCCTCTGCAGCCCGAACATCGACTATTTGTGTCTGTCTACGGACCAGATCGCGTGCCCGGGACTCCAATCGTCATCTTCATCCCAGGAGTTACCTGCAGCATCACTGAATGGGTCGGTGTCCGCCGTCTCCTTCAACCAGATGTTCGCACTCTCCTGTACGAGCGGTCAGGAATGGGAGCATCGGACGAAGTGCTAGAGCCTCCCACAGCATCTGACATGGCCCTCGAACTGGACACTCTACTCAAAGTACTGGAAATTGCGCCGCCTTATGTGATTGTGTGCCACTCATACGGCGGGATAATTTCACGGGAATTTTTCGAGTTAACCCATAAGGACAAACACGTTGAGGACGTGGTCGGGATGGTCATGGTGGATGCGAATCAAGAAGGGAGTACCGTACTCTGGCCGGATTCCAATCTTGAAGCAATCGGACAGGGGCTGGACTGGAACACCGTGACGGGGCTCTCAAAATCACGAGTCCTGACAGATACCGAATGGCAGGCTTTTCTGGATGAACAAGCGAGCGAGAAGCATCAACGTACTGCAAAAAGGGAAATGGAGCACTATATTGACAGTTGCGTGGTATTACGCACAAAATGCCAGTTTGACCGAGATCCTCCCTTGTTAAATAGGTATCCTCTGAGT